CGCCACCAAATTTTGAGGACACTTTTTTAATTGGCTCAAAGAGAGAAGTGGCCCATCTTGTTATGTACTATCATTGACTTAGTGTAGAATTCTGTGCGCCATTGTAAACAATTGAGGATTCCGTTCACAAGCAGTGCGTACTGTTTCTACATTGACTTGAGGATTGATTCTTTTGAGTCCGTTCATCAAACGGGTACATAGCTATAGCATCGGGTACATAGTTATAGTGCAGTCAAAAATTCGTGGCGCAACTCATCCTCAAATATCTTTTTAACGGTGAAGCAATGCTATCCATACTGTGGACATCAGTTTGTCTCAATTTGTCTGAACTTATTCATATTTGTCCACAACAGTTGAGGCTAGATTATTAAACTTTTCTTCATAAATTTATGTAAAATGCTTCAAACTTCCTTCACCCGGAAAATATAGAATTGTTCAAGGCACTTTCCGCTTCTCACACACATTTTGTATACGCATATAGCCTACGTCACAGATCACCAATGATACTTTTTAGAGGCAAAACTAGCTGGTCATTATAAAATGCGTGTCAAGAGTCTGTGGTCACGCGAAAGCATGTACATTCAGCACACGTGTCAGCACGCTTCTTCTTCAACAGAGATTGTACAATATGCAACAACATGCGAGCGTTCTGCAAAGATTGATCTTGGTGAAGTTGCAGAGGGAAATAATTTAACATCTTCCCTCGCTGATGCCATTTTTGTTTTCGTTAAGTACGAATTCTTTACTATAAGCATTATGTGTGTGTTTTTAATACAAAGAATGTAATAAGAAAAAAAAATCGGGATCTGAATATATCTTCGGTATGTGCAGGGTTGCTTTTTGCGCTATTTGCATGTTAGACTCACCTATGTGTTATTTAAACTATGGTTATTGTAGATACTATTCTAATGGAATTGCTCCTCAAAATTAACAATGGTGGGTTTTGGTTATTTCTAATTGTTTTCCTTTTATACAAAATTACAAGCCAGAAGTATAAGTTGTAATTTTAACTAACCATAACCAAGGATTAGATAGAATTATACTGGTACAACCCAAGAGGTTATTGCATCTTTGTCCGAAAAACAAATCACCTTATGCCCAACCCGCAACCAGCTTGTTTGTATGTAGGCCTTGGATTATATCGCCATGCCGTTGGTGCAACCACCGATATTCCTCTGTATTAAACTGCAAATACTTATCATAACCAGGAGCAAATAATCAATGACTCGTCAGAAACAAAACAACAGCATTGAAAACTGAAACTGTTCTTTTCTTTATTATCTCCATTTGAACAACTTACCTCAAAATCTCACAAACCACGGTTTTTAACAAACATTTTAAAAATGTTTCTACCAGCTTCAGTAAAAGTGTAATATACGTCAACAAGAAAAATTAAAGGGAAGGTGCCTTGCCTTTTTTTTCACTCTTCTGCCTTATTAAGAAGATAGTGAAAGTGATGGCATCTAGGTCTGGTTGCACACAGGGCAGTTTACCTTTAGATTTATGTTGAGCACAGGGAATGACATTCTGCTATCTGTATCAGTTGGACTGTTCTAATTAAGCTAATGTAAATTTGTCCCACCTAGAGAAACTTCAAAGGAACTGCACCACTTCGACCTGTTGGCAAACTGTCTGGCTTCGACCGTTTTGGGTGCCCGTGAAACTTTTATATATATTTTGAGGACTCATACTCAAGTCTACGGGACAGGTCTGAGGCGACCCGAAGACTGACGAGTAGGCCTATCGGGTTTTTTAAAAAAAGAACCCTCTATGTTTTCAGGACGCTTGACAAATGCAGCCTAGCTTCTGATACGACAGAATTTCCCTATTTACGTGAAGTCTAGTTGGAGCTGCACATATAACTTTTTACGGCATTACTCGTTTTTCTCCTGAACTTGGCAATCACGCAAGACAATGATGAGTCGAGACGGGCCACAGTTTGTCCTTTACTCTCTACCAGTTTACCATTAGTCAAGATGGCAATCGTTGCTATCCCACAGCTAGCCCCGCTGTACCGCCAACTTCATTCGCGTCTCAAAGTAAAGGGTATAACCAGGTTTGACTGTGTTATACGAAAACGGAAATCGCTGTTTTTAAGTTAATTAGATACATATTAAGAGAGATTTTTGGGGGTCAAAACACAATGTTACTGTTGTACTGTAAAGCACTCAAAGCCAGTTTATTTTATTCGGGGTTGAACGCTACATCAAAGCCACAATACATGTATTATAATCATTTAAATAAGGAAAAAAGCGTTTCGTCAGCGTTTGGCAGCAATGTTAACGCTGAGTGGCACTGTCTTCCTCCCAACTGAATGCTCAATACCCGTCCACAGTAGCTCCTTGTGCGTTGGCCAGGATGTAGCCCAGAGGTCTCTGAAGGATGCCTGTGGGGGTGCTGCTTACGCCGAATACTATCTTGTGACCTTTCTGCTTCAGGCCGTCAATGAGCCACTGAGAATGTATACACGTTTTAGAAGATACTCTAGAGACAGACAGGCGAGCATGCAGGTATGCAGATGGACAGACAGGCAGATATACAGGTAGGCAGGCAGGCAGGTGGACAATCAGGTAGGGGGACAGGCAGGTTGGCAAATGGACAGACAGGCTGACATGCAGGTAGGCAGGCAGGTAGGGGGGGCAGGCAAGTAGGCAGATGGACAGACAGGCAGACATGCTGGTAGGGGGACAGGCAGGTAGGGGGACAGGCAGGTTGGTGACACGTACAAACGTACATGTATACATACGCTATACGTCCATGTCATACACATCAGAAGTAAATAATAAATAAACATAAGAACAGAAAATTATGCCAAAAAACAATAACAACAAAAAACAAAACAAAACAAAACAAGAAAACAACGATATTTATCCTAATGCGCAAACTATTTACTTCTATTATCTCTACCTTAAGAAAACAAATGCAAGAATGCTACATCTTCCCCATATGTATTCCAAAATGGCGCTGTCCTGGACTTTGATAAAGAAAGAAGAAAAATCATAAAAACATGGACTGGCCTGGATATAGCATAATGTGCAAAGGTAGCTGCCTTCGTGAAGGATGGAGGGTCATTACACGTTAGCCTCTGAGTCAGGGAATATACCTCCATGTCTTCCAGGTATGCATATTATTCATAACAGACGTATATTCCCCCTCCATACTACTAACATGCACATACCAAAATAAACACACACACACACACACACACACACACACACACACACACACGCACACACACACGCACACACACACACGCGCGCGCACACACGCG